TATATACAGGTAGTGTAAATCTCATATTACTGTAATCTCTAAATATAATCTCTTTGTTTGCATATTAAAATATTTTTAAAAACAACTTTTGATATAGTAAACACAAATATAATATTAAATTTCATTACAAACAATTCGCTTAAAAAGAAAAAATATTTATTAATAAAGTCAAAATATGTTTTTATATAAATCTCACCCTGGGTATTCAATTTCAAAAGTTCAATTAACTGTTACATATTTCATACATTATATTTTCGTCAAAAAAATTTATTCTAATGTATGTAACGTGTAGCTCAAAAAATCTATACTAATTACGGTATTACAGGGTATTCATAGACAGTATAAGGGGAATGGGATGCTGTAGTCATAGGAATCGACACATACTGTGCGATGACATTGAAATATATTGAATTACATGGAGTTCTATGGCATATTAAGTTTATTATGTATTTTCACATAGTATTCTATAATATATAATATAAAATCATATTTCCTTTTCAAAACTGTAATTACTGTTTAAAAACATTTTGTGTTTTCATTTATCGCATTAATGTTAATGACATTGAAGTGTTAGAGAAAATATTTTTAATCATTTTTGATAGAAATGTTTTTCAAGTGAACAACTGTTTATCAAAACTATTTCTGGTGTACAGAATATTCTTGAAAAAGTTTGTATATTTTTATAAGAATATATACAGTACTAAATATTACTGATTTTGTGTTAATAACGTTATATTAGAAATAATATTTTCATTTTAATAAATATTTTTGTTTAAGAATATTCTGTAAAGATAGTGAACATTTAAAAAATATACAAACTATTTACACATTTTTGTAAATTAACTTTATTATATATATACAAAATAATTTATTATTAAAAATATTCTGTAATAAATCTTATAACAATAAATATATACCTGACTTATTTAACACAGAATTATCGAGATATTCTGTATTCTATAATAATGTTTTAAAAAGTAGCAAACATTTTATAATCTGGTGCCATACTAACTGGCTTAAATAATTATTATCCAGAATATTCCATAGTAAACACAAACAATGTTTAAATATATACTCATATCGTACGGAATATGGTGTCAACACAAATACATCAAGCACATATTCACAACATTTGGATTCATAACATTCATGGCCATAATAACTCACTACATATCTACCATAAACATCACAGATAACTACCCCCTCATATTGTGCAAACTACTGTGCTTGGTACATTTCAGCATCTACCTACTCTCATACCTATACATTAAATACAACTCCAAACTCATTGTCGACTTAAATGAGGAATTGTGTGAATATTACGTGAAATTCAATATAAATTATAACAAGAAAATTAACATGGTATTTTTATTACTACATACCGGTGCCTACGGGCTACGGGTGTATATAATTACCAACGATAACTACATAAATAAAATTATCTACGTCAATTATATTAATATAATTTTTAACTCCAGTTCCCTATTGTTATACCTTTACACTAGCGGTTGGTTTTTAGCACTAAATATCATTTACTATGAATTGTACACAAAATACATAAACATATTGAAAATACATACGACTCGCATAAACGCCATATCCCGGCCCCCGGACAAGGAGTACTTGTTTGACATCAAACAATGTTTGAAACATATACAACAAAATACCCTGAAGCTTTTTATAGACAGGGTCAGGTATTTTATGTACGCTAATACGGTGACGTATATTTTAATATATTTACTGTTTATTCATATTTCGTATATTAATAGTAATTTTGAGGCTTTGATTGTATATTCAGTTATATTTATTCAGTACTTATTTCTCATGATTTCGATGTATATATTCATGTATTTTAAGGCTCGGGTGGAAAGGCATGTGTCCAATGAGATCCAGAAATGGATTTCTTGTATCAATACTAATATACTTAATAATTGTGTTACAAATAAATATTAAATAATTACTTGTTTACTTAAATATGATTTATGAAAATTCATTTATGTAAATATAAAACTTTATCAACAAACTTCATCGTTTTTGTGTTTCAATAATAACCTCCTAGATAACTTTGGGTTAAATAAACATTAATTTGTATTAATTCATACTGTACTGCACATTTTAAAATAATTAGATTTATTGGTTTTATTTTTTATAAAATAAAATTGAATATTTAACATTTTACATAAAATTTAAAGTAAATTTGATATATTTATGAAATAACCAATATTTTCGAGTCAATTAACTTGATTATAATGTGATACAATATTTACCTTTGTTACTATAATGGTGATTTGTCTTTTAAATAAAAATTAATAAAAGAAAAAAATTATAAATTTAGGGTGTGACACAATATAAATAACTTTTTACGAGTTTAACACATTTACAATATAATTTTAATACTACTATCCCATTGCATTTTATATCAACAACGTTGCTATGATAATATAACGAGGCATTTATCAATATACCAATTCTAATACATTGTATTATTAATTGTACATTTTACTTTAAGTTTAAATTTAATAAATATTCCAGCTATATTTTTAGTTATGTCGATAAAATTTTACAATTTTATTGCGATTATGTGACACTATTTTTATATTATGTTTATTTTAAAGTAATTTATTTATTTTTAAAAATAATTTTAGTAATATATTCAAGATTAATTTTAATAAATTTTATATACACAACAAGGCAATCTTAAATAATAGATATTTATAAATAAAAGAGTAAATTAATTGTAATAACTTATAACATATCTAAATTTTGTTGTAAAAGTTAACAGTAAAAATATTTAAAATTTTGTTAAAACATTATTGATCGGTGAAGCATGAATTTTTATTATCTCCCAGATGTCCAGATTATAAGTGGGTTTCTAGTTTGACATTCATGGGCCAATTTCTGTAATATGTTTCTGCTTATACTACATTTGACATGTAATGTGATATCACGTCTACCACCAATACCTCCAATTGCGTTTCTTAGCCAATCAAATTGACCAAGGAAGTATGGTAGTATGGTGAACTCAATTGTGCATTCTTCAGAATTGTCTCTAGAAATACACAATGATTGCATTTTATCGTAACCAATAAATGCCGAGAAAGTCTGTTTCAAACTAATTCCTTCATTAACCAACTTAAGTGTTATCAATCGTACAAACGATCCAAATATTGCCCCATCACAATTTTCAACCTTATAGAAAACATTGTGTCCAACTTGATTAGGTTGTATGCAGTCGTTTTTAGTTTCTCCAAGATCAATTGATAATCCACAAGTAGCACCCTTGTTAAATTTACAATTTTCAATATGTGCTTTCTCACAATTCAACTTGTACGATTCTTTACAGCCGTTTAAATAGTATTGACATTTAAATTGTACAGCATTTTCGATATATGACCTTTTCTCAAAATGCTTTTTCAAATTAATCTTGGTAGTTTTACATACTGGACAATTAGGGTTAGTTTTTATCCACGTACTAATACAGTTGTTGCAAAATGTATGTAGACAATTACTTATGATGTAGGGATCATCATATACTCTATAACAAATTGCACATGTTATAAAATCAGCCACAGCTTGATCAATAATTCGTTCAGATATTATACCGGACATGTTTAATTTAAACTGCGACACAATTTACTAACTTTATGTTTAAATAAAAATAAGTCGTATTATATTATATTTTATTATTACTTTAATGGTGTGGAATTTTATAACTTAATAAAGTTGCTATGAAAATATCATTGAGCACTTATAAATAACCTATGAAATTATAAGTAATACATTAAGAAATTTATAATACAGGGTAGCCTTTTATTAACGATGCCACTTTAATTTTAATTTAGTTTAGTACCGTGAAGTTTATTTATTTAAAATATACATTAAAATAATCCTGAATAGTTAGGGTTTTATATGACATATAACATGTCCATGTTATTGGTAAACAGAATTTTACACAAGGAATTTAATTAAAAAGTTATAAAAAATTTTGTGTTTTTGTATTCAATTCATAGTTATTTATCTGAAGTTGAAACTGTCAATAAAATATATTTGTTTGATTTTACACATTTGAAATATAATATTCATAAAACTGTCATTTTATATAAATTAAATTTATTTGTTATATTTATTCAAATTCAAGTCATTTTATAAAAAAATATAAAATTTTAAAAAATAACAGTTTGAATAAAATGTAAACTTATGTTAAAATTGCTGTGAATAGCATACAAAAACACAAAATTCTGGAGACTTTTAAATTAAATTATTTTTGTAAAATTTGGATTAAGAATAACATTGGTAAATCATATATCATATAAAACCCTAACTATTCAGGATTATTTTAATGTATATTTTAAATAAATAAACTTCACGGTTCTAAACTAAATTAAAATTAAAGTGGCATCGTTAATAAAAGGCTACCCTGTAGTAACTCTAGATCCAGACATTTTAGTTACTTTTAATTTTGTATTTTAAATGTCAGATTAAATAAGATATATAACTAGATATAAATTATGACATTGTTTATTTTACTTATCACCATACCAGTATATATACAATACAGACTATCAATTAATATTAAAATGTAACACAAAATATAATTTATATCAAAACACAATATTAAACTATAAAATCATTTATTATAATAAAATAAATTGAAACTAGTACATTCAAGACAAACAAGTGTTGCATGAGTGATTGATATAACTACTGTAGTCCGATATATTATTATAATAATAATAATAATAATAATAATAATATTTTTTTATATTATTAATACAGATATACACAATATGCCATATAATATACTAATAGTATTTAAACTATTGTTGCGTTTGTCGAGTCATTTAATAAAACTATTGTACAACAATTAAAAACTGAAAATATGAATAACATGTTAATTCGTATATATTTTGTGTGTTTTGTAATCACTTTAATAAACGTTTCGTTATGTGATGACAAAAATCTCGATGGATTGGTGCCCGAAGTCATAGATTTGATACCAAATGAAACAAATAGTGTATGTATGCACTAAACAATTCATCAAATATTCCTGGTCATGCAATACAAACCTCATATTTGAGATTATTTATGAATTTGTAAATTATTAAAGTTTTCACTTTATAAATAAATCCAAATATGAGGTTTGATTTGATTGCTCAAAATATTAAGCTTGCTAAATATTTGGTAATATAGATTTTAAGAAAACAAAATAACAAAAATTAAAATAAAGTAACCTGTTTAATTGATTTTTATTTTTCAGGTAAACTATTCGCCAGGAAATATTGCAGTGATGGACGGCACCGACCTGACCCTGACGCAGGTTAAGTCCCAACCGGTGGTGCACTGGCCCGTTGACAGTAACGCCTACTACACACTGGCAATGATAGATCCCGACGCCCCCTGTCGAGCCTTTCCCATAATCTCTCAGATCAAGCACTGGCTGGTCATCAATATCCCGGGCGCTGATGTTGCAAATGGTCGAACATTAGCCGAGTATTATACACCGGCACCACCACCTGGATCAGGGTATCATAGATATGTGTTTTTGGTGTACAAACAGCCAGCGCTTATCAACACGACTGAGCCCACAGTTACCAGTAGTTCGATAACGGGTCGACTATTCTTTAAAATAAGGGACTTCGCGAGGGCTCACAATTTGGGTGAACCCGTAGCCGTCAACTACTTTAAAGCCAAGTTTGAGAACTAGCTTATTATGCTGTAATATAATTGTTTACTTATATTCTTGTAAAACATTATTCTGATTAATAAAATTAAATATTAATAAGCAGCAATATATTCATTATTATAATTGATTATTTTAACTGATTATATTGAAATCCTAAATATATATTAATAACCTGATAAGTTACTTCAGGTTACTTGATAAGTTAACATAAAAATTATTTTAATTTTAAAATGCTATAAAGTGTTCAAAATAATTGTACATTTCTTATACTGTATCACTTAAATATACTTTCAAAAAATTTTATGCATCATTTATAACTAATTTGTATCCTTAACGTCAGTTACCAAGGTTAAGTTGTTCTTAAAAGTATTAAAACGAATTATATGTTTGATAAAAGTTAATTACAGTTCTTTATTATTTATTTTATAAAGTTATTTAGTATCAACATGTCTTAAATTATAATTTTATTAATGCTAAAAAATTATAGTTTAATCATTTCTAAAATAAATATACAATATTATTACTGAGTAATATTTTTAGGTATTATTAGCTCACCAAGTTTGATTGTAAATAAACAAATATATTATATATTTATTTTCTGAGATTTAACTTTAGAGGTTTTATAATGTATCAGTATTTTGATTCAGTACAGTATTTGTATATTAAATAATTTGCATTATTTCCATAAATATTTAAAAATATAATATACATTATTTGAAAAAAATGCAGTATTTCTTTATTGTGTTTAAGATATTGTCCTCAAAGTTGTATACTTTTAAAGTATTTAAAAGTATTAAAATTAATAATATGTTTGATAATTACTTTATTACAGTTTAATTTTTTCATACTGTTCATATAAATTCGTTTTAAAATGCTTATATTTAAAGCAGTTTAAAAGTTACAGTTTGTGATAACTGAAATGATTTTATAGAAAATGCTATCAAATAATTACTAAAAATACTGTAGATGACTACTTAATTTTGAAATCTACTAAATGGGAACAGTTTTTGTTGCTAGGTGAATCTTAATTTAACGAGTGCTAAAACGAATTGAAATATTTTTATTTTTTTAAAATGTGTTTATAAATATTATAATAATAGATAATAAATTGTGTTTATTATTTTAAAATTTATATTACTAGATTAATAAGTAGTTAATTAATTTAATTTATTTTAAAAAAACAATTTTCTTGAACTATGATAATGATTTAATAAAAATTCAAAAATTATAATAAACAATAAAGATTATGTCGGTGTCGAGATATAATAATTTTTAAACGAGATTTCATTGTTACCATTAAAATATATGATGTTTATTATAAACAAATTATTAAAAATTATTGTTCTAACTGTAGAGATTAATGCGCTAGGCTGTTTTGTATACTT